TGTCAATTGAATCAAAATTCACTTCGGTTAGGTTAGGTTAGTGAAAATTTTGTTAGTTAGTTAGTAGCTACAAACAAATTGAATTGTTTAAAGGGTTTTCCACCCGATGTACGCTGATCTGTGGATGGTGCTGTCTACTCCCACCTTGTTTTGTCGCTGCGCCAATGTTCCATAGGGCCCCGATAACGACATCTTACATGGGAGCTCAGCTTCGAAGCCATGACACCTGCGTTCTTCGCCTCGACTACTAAAAGGGAAGTGACCTACTTATGTCTTCTGTCCAAATTTCTAATTCTTCTTTGATAACTTATTTAGTCTAGGCCTAGTGAAGAAATTAAAGTTGAGAAAAATTACCTTAAAAGAGAGCTCTCAATCCCAAAGTCATGACAAATTAAATCAATGAACATTTTGATATTTTCGTAAAACCGTCAACCGACATTGTGTGAACCCCGGAAGGACTACAAAGTGCCATCGGACACTACCCACCTGCAGTGGAAATCTGTTTATTTTTTTGGATTCAAGAATTCCAAGTAGGGTATTTTATTTTATTTGAATTCTTTTGATTGTCTGTGCCATTTTGGCCAACCAAATCTGAAACTATTTTTGATCTTATGAAAATTGGTAGGCCTAGCTAGCCTAACCTGAAATTAAATCTGTTTTGAGAAATAACTCAAGTAAAGTAAAGTAATCCATTTTGATTTGTGCCTTAAATAATTAAATCAGTGCTTATTATTAATTTTAGAACTTGTTGATATTTAACTTAAAAATTGCTGATATTTAGACTTATTGATTTTAGAACTTGAAGTTGTTAGATTTTAAGTATTGTCTGAATTCATATTTGAAACATTGTCGATCAACACTGATAATTTGCAAATTTTGTAGGCTATGACTTGTCATTTTAATACTTGCTTTTATTAATTATTGTTGATTCATTTGATTTGAATTCAGTCAAATATCAATAAACTTGTGCTGATTTATTTTAACTTAGAATTTGAACTTAACTTGAAAAATCATGTAACATTGTTAATTGTTCTCCCTATTTGATTTTTGAGATTTTTTCTTAATTCATAGGCCTATAGGATTGTTTTATTTATCCAAAGGGATCAGTAGGTAATATTTTGTTTGATAAAGGGTAATTTGATTTCATTTTAAATAAATTGTTCTCTCTGTCACTTTGTCTATTTCATTTCATATGTCTACAACATATCGATGGCAGTAGATGAAGATAACCTGGAGTGTGCGAGCTGCGACATTATCGTTAAAGATAGCGAAAATGGACTATTTTGTGACGGGTTTTGCCGTAGATGGCACCATGCAAGGTGCATCAACATAAAAACCGACGAATATAAGAAAATTTGTGATTTGGGAGACAAGGTGTTGTGGATATGTGACGAGTGCTCGACCAGGCTAGGTAAGGTCAAAGCCGACATATTTAGCCTAGAAGATGAATACTTGAATACTTAGACTAACATAGACTCCTGGGACTACGAGGTAAAGGTGGTGAGTTCTGTGGTTGCCGACCATGATGGAGCAGTTCTCTTGAAGATCAAGGCTGATGAGGTAAGGTCAAATACTTCCTATGCAGATAAGAACGTAGCCACTAAGAGATTTATTGATAAGGATAACCTGCCTTTGCTCATAGACGAATTAAATATCGTGGACTGGAACTGTTTAGGCCTACAACTCACTACAGAGCCTAATACTGCATTCAGGTTATTTCTCGACTTGATCCAGGATAAGTTTGATGTAGTGTATCCGGGGAAAATCTATAAACTTGGTAGTAAAAAGACTAAATGTACAGCCATTGACAAATCCTGGTACTCCTCTGACCTTAGGAAATTGCGTTCCTTAGTGATCTTAGTGCACGATCATTACAAACTTGCTGTTGACCTAAATCAAAAAGTTAAATTCTTTGCTCTATATTCTAAACTAAAGAAAGACTACAGTGCTAAAGTTAAGGAAGCAAAGAAAGTCAGCAATGTAAACAAAATATTGAAGGCGTCCAATACTTGTAAGGCTGCATGGGATGTCGTGAATGAGCACAGGAGGTCCAGCCCTAGCCCTAAGATAACTGCGTCCCCTGATGTTTTTAATGACTATTTTGTCAGGATAGCTGATGATATCATCAACAACCTCTCCTTGTTACAGCATGAAGATCCGGTTGCTGCAGTCACTGATTATGCCACTAACCACACACTAACAAGTTGGACTGAGGTGAGTGAACGTTACATTATAAGTTTAGTGAAGGGCTTCAAAAACTCTGACAGCCAAGATGTAAAATGGTATCTCCTGTTCTATACTTAAAGGTATTATACATCTGATATGTACACCGCTAACTAAGCTAGTTAACTTGTGCTTACTAAAAGGGTCCTTTCCAGATGTCCTAAAAGTTGCTAGGACTATTCCAATCTTTAAAAAGGGAGATCCCTCAGATCCGTCTAACTACCGCCCCATATCTATCTTGCCGGTGTTCTCTAAGGTACTTGAGACTGTGATGAAGAGGCAGCTAATTAAATATTTTGAAGGTAACAACTTGCTTTCGGATGCCCAGCACGGATTCCGAAGTGGGCGCTCAACTACTACAGCCCTAATGAATCTGACTGACCTCATCTCAGATGCCTTTGAGTGCAATGACTCAGTCATGCTGAGGTTATGCGATCTGAGTAAGGCATTCGATGTTGTTTCCCACAACATCCTTTTAGGGAAACTGAAAAAATATGGTATTGGTGGTAGGCCTACAGTGTTGTGCTCTTTGCAGAATTATTTAGAAAATCGTAGGCAATTTGTATCAGTGAACGGAGTGTCCTCAAATGTCCAGGTTGTTCCCCATGGCGTTCCTCAAGGTTCGGTGTTAGGCCCTCTACTGTTTAGCATCATGATAAACGACCTTTGGCTAAACGGCTGCACCCTCCTCTTTGCAGACGACACCACTCTGGTGACTAGAGGGAAAGACATTAACCTGTTGAGGGATACAGCGGACGAGTTGTTTGTTGAGGCTAAGTCCTGGTTTGTTGCTAATCGCTTCAAAATAAATGAAGAAAAGACTCAATCTTTGATGTGCACCCTCAAGTCGAGGACTGATCATGAGGAAGCTGTGAAGTTGCTTGGGTTTTGGCTGGACTCTAGGCTAAACTGGTCTAACCACATTGATAAGGTATGCGTTAGGTTATCCAGAGTTCTCTATCTGCTAAGGAAACTCCGAGATGAAATCACTAAGACCTATCTGGTAACCATATACCATGCCTTATTTCATAGCCATTTGATGTACGGAATAGTGCTCTGGGGACACTCCCCTACATGCCATGAAATACTTCTGCTACAAAAAAAAGCTGTGAGGGTGATAACATCTAAAGGCCCAAGAGAACATTGCCGACCCATCTTCAAAGAATTGGGAATCCTCACAGTGGTGAGCCAGTACGTACTTAATAGTCTGGTCTTGCTAAAGGAAAACCTAAGTGATTTTGTGACCCGAGGTGATAGGCATGAGTATGGAATAAGAAGGGTCCATGACCTGGATATGCCTCGCTGCCGCTTGAGCCATACCTTAAGGAGATACCCCCGATCGGCTATCAAAATCTACAACTCCCTTCCAAACCACCTAAGGAACCTTGACGGTACAGCGTTTAAGTCCGAGCTGAAGAACTTGCTCACAAATAGGCCCCTGTATAGTCTTGACGAGTTGTCAAATGACCCTTTGATGCCAGGTTGAGAAATAGACACGCTTACCACAGCCTAAGTTTCAAGTTTTAAGTTTTTAAGTTTTATGATACTTTGTAAAACAAGTTTTGTATATAGTAATTTTGTAAATATTAGTATAACGACGCAATCTATCCGATATACTTTTCGGTCAAAGATTAAGACAACAAGTATTCAAGTAAGTAAGTAAGTAAGTAAGATCATCTATAAAATTAACATTGAAGTCATCAGCAATGAATGATATAATCCAAGTCAGCTCTAGAATATTTGACAGCACTTAAGTTTACGTCCTACGTACTCATTCCAATGAAGGTATTTCTTTAATAGGCCTACTTTCTTTCTTATTATTTGACGACCATACAAAGTAGGTATTTTAAGCCAAGTATGAATGGAGATGAGTGTAGGATGAGTGGAGCGATCCTGTAGTCTTGTTAGTGACTAAGACCGACATTCCTTAGACACAACTGTTAATTAATAGCCCAAACAGCTAATGGCAACTAAGGGACATACAGTTTATAGTGGAATCCGAACCACATTATTTAGTATAACTTAGGCCTACTATACAAATTGGTCTAATTATCAGGATAGTACTGGGGAGAGTCGTAGTAAGTATTCACTCGTGTGGACGTTCATCCACACCAGGGAGTGTTGAATCCACAGTGCATGCCTATAAATATCCACAATTCGTGACCTCCTAGTAGCTGGATTACAGGACAGCGCCACCCGTCCCAGTCATATTGATTATTTCATTTGATAAACTTAGGCCTAGGCCGGCTGCACTTTACTTTACGTCCTACACTCATTCGAATGAAACTATCGATTGTTCGATTGTTTCATTCGATATACCGTTTCGTTAGTTAGGCCTACGTTAGGTTAACCTTACCTAACTTACCAAACCATATATCGAATGATACAAACGATTAATCGATATATCGATCGATATTTTCATTCGAATGAGTAAAGTAAAGCCCCTAGGCCTAATATTAAGTTTGGTTAGTTAGGGTAAAACCTAACCTAACTAAAGGAATGAAATATTCAAAATACGGGTAAAGTTTCTTAACTGGGCTATGCTAATATAGATTGAAACTATCGATTCGATTAGTAAACCTTCATGCGATTTTTTTGCCATCAGCAAGTTTTGTTACATAAACAAATTCTTAAAGTTGACACTGGGTCAGTGGGAAAAAGAGACTATCCTAATAGCCTAGGGATAATGCCTATTCAAACATTTGCTACAATATTGTTTGATGATCCAGAATTAGCCTAGGAATAAGCTGTATCTTAGGTTCTTGTTGGTGACTTACCTAAGTTAGTGTCTGGTAGGACTAATGTTATGAAGTTATCATGTTGATTACGTTTTTTATCCTATAAAAATTAACTTATTTCACATTATTCCTTGAAAACTATTGTTTGTAACACTCGAGTCATCTATTTTCTTGTAAAAAAGTAAAGAAATAAAAAAGATAAATATTTACAATATAGGCTACTTAAAAGTTTATTACACTAGGTAGCCTGGCGACGTCGCCAGCGGCAGTAGCTGGCGACGCACTGGCCACCAAACCTATAACCAGTTGAGTAGCCAGTTGAGTAGCCAGAATTTTACCGCCTTGGCGCCGTTGTTGTGAGTGCTTGTCTTGCACTTGTACTTGTTATGAGCGGTGTTTACAGTGAATAATGAGTGATTATAAGTATCTTCTCCTTCTGTTACTTCTGAAGAAAAGGAGGCAAAGGAAGAGAAAAATGCACGTTCATCCAATGCTTAGTGCAAGAGAATCAAAAGGGTTATATTACACCCTTTTTGATGAGCTCTGTGCGGACAATACAAAATTTTTCAATTATTTTCGTATGTCACAATCCAGTTTCTTCGAGTTGTTAGGTCTCATAAAGGATGATATAACTGGAACTGATACTGCATTGAGAAGATGTATTCCTTTTTCTTATCTTTCTTTTGTTCTCCTTTCGGAGCTTCTTCTTTTTTCTTCCTATCTTCGATCCTAGTCCCTTCGACTGAATCAGATGTAGACATTCTGAAGTGAACAATTCAACAACAATTGAACAACACAAGAGAACTCAACACAACAGTGTGCAAGTACCCCGTGAACTGACCGAGTGGCGACGTGATCCTGGCGACCTAGTGTAATAAGCTCCATATGCTACAACGCAGCGTCGCCAATATGGGTAGCCAGTGGCTACCACAGTGGCGACGGGGCTCGGTAGCCAGTCGGTCGCCAAAGTGTGGCTGCGTCGCTGGCTACCCTCGTGTAATAACATCCATAAGAATCAATGCCCCATGACAAGCTGAGTAGCCAGTTTGGTCGCTGGCGACGTCGCCAGGCTACCTAGTGTAATAGGGGCCTAGTCTTAGTCAATAAATAACCAGCTTGAAGATGTCCGTCGGAATTCGGAATCAAAATCAAATATTGCGACTCGTGAGTTGAGGAACTGAACGATGAATTAGAACAACTCCTTTTCAAGAGTAGCTCCGAAGAACGGGAGCTTGTCGATATACTGGGACTATTTCAGTGTCGACATAGTGAAACTATTTCATTGTCGACAATATGGGATGTCGACAATTTGTGGTGTCGATCATTTGCGACGTCGGTTATTTGGGATGTCGGTTAAGTGGGAATATTCCAGTGTCGACAAACTGGGAATAATTCAGTTTCGATCAATTTCTACGGTTGTCGATATTATGGAACCCACCCGACACGATTACCGTAACGAAACGGGGTGATTTCAGCGGCGTTCGTGGCATAGTTGGTAGTGTATCGGATTGGTGTTCAGGAGGTCCGGGGTTCGAAACCCGCCGGCAGCACTAACTTTTTGTCAACAAATTTTTCATATCAGCAAGTTTGGTTGGTTAGGTTAGGTTATGACAGTTTAATTTTATAATACTAAATTTTAAAATTAATTAAAAATTATAAGTAATCATTAATTAGATTTTTATCTTATATAGTTTTTATATTATCAGCAAGTCTGGTTGGTTAGGTTATGTTATGACAGTTTAATTTTAAAAATTAAAAATGTATTTTATAATTTTAAAACAATATTTTATAATTAAAAAGTTAATTTTATAACAAAAAATTAAAAATTAATTTAAATTTTTTCAACTTAGCAGTCCTAGCGGCGAACGCTGACACTACAAGATATGTTAGCCTTAGTCCCTCCCGTGTGCCCCACCGACAAACTACAACTTAGTAGTATCTGCGGATAGTATGAAAGGAAACCCCACTGAACAGTGGCAAGGCAAACCAAACTGAAAGTAATATAAAATGGATGCACTATATAAAATACAACGTTTAAAATAAAATTATATTGTCCGTCATTCTATATTTTCTATGTATCTATAATGTTCATTAAATAGCTGGATAGCTTAGTGGTTATTGTGCTCGCCTAGTAATCAAAAGGTTGGCGGCTCGATCTTGTCCTGACTGAGAAAGGTGTGTAGCTTTTTGAAGGTCCAAAACCGGACCCATCTGTTCTATATCATTGGGCTTTTATTTTAATAAAGGTCCTAGCTGATGAAACAGCTGGTCTTAGCCAGTAACAAAGCTACATAAGAAATCACACTCCATGATTCTAAACTCATATCCTTCACTCGCACATGTGGCCTCCCCATCTGAAAAATGCTAATGATAATCCTAATTATAATTCATAGATATTAATAAAAACTATAAACAGTATAAAAACTTTCGTATCTTAAGATGTATTGAATATTGTGTATCTTGGTCTGATTGTTTTGTTTGAAAGACCACAGCTGCAATTTCACTTATTGTAGCGAAATACCAGTTCAGTTACCCGAAATTGAGGAGTTAAGTGAGTTTGCCTTAGATACAGAGATTGAGTATGATGGCTATCTCTGGTAATGTCTCAGGTACGTGGTCTTACGAATGGCCATTGCTGTAAGCTTTAATGCTTAGTCCCTAAAAGATTTTCCCAAGCCTGGGGGTTTCCTATGACATTAAAAGATGGCATATACCAGTATCCTTGATGCATGCTTGGCTTTGTATACACACATTTGAAAGCGGTTTAGCTCTTTACTCTTTCCCCCTCCCCTTCCATCCCATTTTCCCGTTTTCCATCCCTTTTCCCATTTTCCATCCCTTTTCCCATTTTCCATTCCTTTTCCCACTTTCCCATTTACTCTCTACCATTTACTCTCTAACATTTTCCCCTCCTTCCATCCCATTTTCCCTTCTTCCGCCCCTTTTTGCGTTTTAACTTTTTCCATCCCTTTTTCCCATTTTCCTTCCTTCCACCCCTTTTTACCTTTTTTCCATTTTCCCTCTACCTATTTTCCCTCCTTCCTTCCCATTTTCCCGTTTCCATCCCTTTTCCCTTCTTTCATCCCTTTTTCTAATTTTTTCCTCCTTCCATCTCTTTTTCCCATTTTCCATCCCGTTTTCCCTTCTTCCATCCCGTGTTCCCTTCTTCCATCCCTTATCCAATTTTCCCATTTTCCATCCCTTATCCAATTTTCCCATTTTCCATCCCTTATCCAATTTTCCCATTTTCCATCCCTTTTCCCACTTTCCCATTTTCTCTCTACCCTTTTTCCCTCGTTCCATTCCTTTTTTCCGTTTCCATCCTTTTTCCCTTCTTCCATCCCTTTTCCCTATCTTACATCCCTCTCATTATCCCTTTTAGCGAATTTCCCTATAGAGAATTTTAAGCTATTACCGTAGGTCTTATGGTAAGTCTTAGTCCCGGGACGGATTTGCTTGTTCATTTTGATGTCCCTAGAAGCCAAAAACACCATCCGTTCAAATTCATATATATATATATATATATACTGTATATATATATACCTATATATATTTTTGAATAAAGATATCGTTCACTATTGAGGGCTACTATTATTATTAATAAATGAAATAAATAATTAAACATTTAGTACCCTTCAAGTTATTAATTTATTGAATAAACTTACATGTTTCGGCTCTAGGCCATGATCGCAGTTATGAACAAATAGTAAATACATAAAAATGTAAATAATAAATAAGTTTTTTTATAACAATTTTATTAACCGATCAGCATTACATTGCTATACAGGTTAGGTATAGTATAAAAAAGAAAAAAATAACATTATTAATTATATTAACATAGGTAGAGGTCAGCTATGGCTAGCCCCTCAGGCACTTATTGTCACTGTTTTAGCAGGTCGGACTGTAAAGGCGCTGTCCACCAATGAAAAACACAAATGAAAAAAATGGTTATAATAAAACATCTTGAGGCAATCTGGGTTTAAGTCGGAGTCTCTGGATTTCAGATGGTTGGCCTGTGTTATAAAATCCAATGCTGCTGGTTAATGGAAGTTTTGTAAATAATTTTGATGTAGTTTTCTTGATGAAATCTTCTATAGGTTTATTCCCAGTTCCAAATGTATTTGACGGGTTCGAACATACCAGGGACATTTAAAATTGTCCTTAAAACTTTATTTTGAAATGTTTGCAGTTTACGAATCAAGCTTGATGAAGCAGTTCCCCATACTGGGCAGGCGTATAACAATAGTGGAGGTAGAAGTGTTTTGTATAGAAGGGTTCCATTCTTAATAGACACACATGATTTTTTGTTGATTAAAGGAAACAATTTTGATAATCTGCCATAAGCCAAATTTAATTTTTTATTAATGTGAAATTTCCAATTTAACTTTCGGTCGAAGTATACACCTAAATATTTTATTGCTTGGTCAGGAGGGTTCCATGCAACCTGTTCAATATTAAATCAATAGAAATGTAAATAATAAATAAGTAAATTATCAAATGATTTTGGAATTTTGTCTAGGTAGGTATATATGTATATAGGTTGGCTTAGGTGTTGTTTTCTTTTGATTTATTATTTAAGATTTTTCCATATATTATGTTTTCTTTTTGAATTTGCATTGTATTATAGTCCTATATAAGTCCTGTATAAGTCCTAAAACAGCCTCAGTCCAGGTGGGTTTCAGCTCACTGGACTGGAACATCATGAAGATCAGATCGTTTCTCTGGTTGTACGCTGGGTTGTACGTTGACTTTAAATAATGCAGACACAGGTTTGTGGTCACTTATCTCAATTTCTTGAAAACTCTCGTAGCTCTGAACTTCGAGGAGTCCAAGCCGGTCTTTGTAGAGGATGCGATCAGTCCATGCAGGTCGCCTCTTGTTGTTGTATTTAGATGTCCCTACAATAAACTTGTAGGTTGGTAAAAATTTTGGTTGACCTGTTTCCTTGAACTCTTTTAACAATGGATTCTTAGTCATCAGTATAGATAACTCATCAAGTTTTAAAAGATCATCTTTTCCACCAGAAGCTAGTTCATTAATTATCTCATCAGCCGACATCGATTTGCTTTGTTCCAACCTAAAGTTCATGTCTCCAAACCAAAATAACACATATGCACTATCCAATCTAGATTTTTTTAATATTTTATCCATATCGTCCAATCTTCGTTTTGTTTTCTCTTTTCCAGAATTAAGGTGACAATTTACAAAACAAATTGGCATTG